TCAAAATTCGCGACAGTGGGGTAGGTAAGATTCTCGCCATGTCTCATTCCGATTCTTTACTCTATGATTCCTTCCTAACCTTACTTCCTCCTACTTCTTCTAACCTTACTTCCTCAAGTAAGGTTTAATATATTCATCGTAAATTCCAAATTCTGGAGACTTCTTCAGTCTTCGTATTGTAGTTCGTAGACGTCCCCATGCCAGTCCATATCCTTTTGCTGGCACTGTCTCTTGATTCTTCCATGATCAGCCCACTATACATCTCCCTTTTTTATCCATGGTGAGCGATTTTTGAAAAACTTCAGAGGCTTTTTCATTCTGATAATCCGTCATTAAATCCCTAATCCCAATTGCTTCTAATTTCCACGTCTGTTCAATCTGATCCATGTAGATTTGCGATTCCTTCTTTGTTATGTTCGCAATTGTTTGAAATTTACAAAACTCGTCATTTCTATTTTTTTTTCTGTATCACTATCTTTCGCTACTTTCCGTTTACCGCCTTCGACCAGTCCTACTTCTCTTTCCATAATCGCCCATCCTGGTGGGCGTTTTATGGAATTACAAATGACTTAATCTGCAACCCCTTCTATTCTACGCCTAATAATAATACATCTGGTTTTCCCCACTTACCTTCAACTAATTGCTCTCTTTCATTGTTTATTACATCCGTTCGAGTATTGAATCGACAATGTATGCCTGGATATTCTTCACATGCCCCGGACAGCGTTTGAACTCCGAAAGTCGAAAGACTTTCATATTTCCTTGTGCCTACCATTCCTGTTATTAACATTCCCACACTTGGTGATGTTTGTTTTAAATTCAATTTGCTTACCATTGATTCTGTAGCATAATTACAATCACTTCCTGTGTCGAAGAAAATTAAGGTCTTTGATGTTTTTCTTAGTACATCTGGATTGATTAGTCTTACTTCTTCACACATCATGCCGCCACTGTCTTTAGGCTTATGTTTGCTTCCTCACTGTTTTTGAAATTCTTGCTTTGCTTCTTTATTTCGTTGCGTTTCCTACATAAAGCGCTATTGTGGCCAGATCCGCAATAAAAACATTTTATTTTTCTCACGTATGTTTCTTGTGAGTGGTCATTTTCCAAGCATATTTCACAAAGTTCCAATTTCTCTAACCTTTCCATCCTTTTGTCAACAGTAGAATATTTGTCACATCTGTCGTTCTAATGGTTACTTTCACAAAAAGTACACGGTAATCGACCTCTCTCTCCTTTGTGACACTCTACTAGGATATATTCTCTTCGCTGTTGAGCAAACTGTCGAACGTCTGATGCCACTCTCCCAGTTCGTGAATCTTGTTCCATTTGATCTTGCTTGTTGCATCTTTGTCCTGTCTATTGAGCCTTTCATCTTTTCCGGTGGTTTCACTTCAGATCCTTCCTCAGTCTTCATCTTTTCTTTTAGGTATTTAATAGTATCTTCCATTGTCCATACTTCTTCTTTCTTAGGCTTTTAGCCATGTCTTCTGGTATTCTATCAGTTACCATCACATCCAATTGTATTGTTTCTATGTTTTCTTCCAATCCTTTTAATTGAGACAGTAAGTTCAAAAGTTCCCTTATCATTCTAAACGGTTCTTTATTTGAGCGTCGAACTCTTTCTAAGCTTTTATATAGCTCCTTTATCCTTTGTTTTTTATCACCATATCGTTCATACAAATTTTCTAGAGCCAATGGGTAATTTTCTTCATTTACCATGAAGTCACTTATTTGTTCTCTTGCCTCTCCTTTCAAACTGCTTAAGAAATGCATGAATTTCTGTGTGGGCGTTAAATCCGTACTCCTGTGAATTGATTCTTCAAACTGGCTAATAAACTGGCCTCACATTCTCGGGTCGCCATCAAATTCTACCGGTTTTAAAGTCGGTGGTTTACTGGTCGTGATTATCTTCTAAAATTAAATCTTCTAGACTTTTTTTTGTCCTTCTGTTGTTACTGGTTCATGATCTGCCTTTTCATCACTTTAACTTCTATGATTGTTCCACTTAATCGATTTAGTTTCGTAAGAAGTGAAGCTCTTTTACAATAAAGCTTATTTCCTTTGTCAAATAGACAGTCTTCCTGCAAATAGACAGTCCTCATGCAAGTATATAACGCAACGTTATTCTCCCATTCATCATCATTTGCTGAACGTAGCAATTCTTTCCATTCTATCTCCAAATCATTAGTCTTGGAGATTATACCGTCCAACACTATTACTTGTTTCTCAATATCAGATTTTTGTTCGTCTAGTCATTTCATCGTTTTTTCGTAATTTAATCCTTCTGGTAAATCCTTTTCTCGTAGTTCTATTGCTTTCTTGTAATGAGATAGGAAAAAGAATTCTTCCTTGAAAGAATTCTTCCAAAAGAATTCTTCCAAAAAGAATTCTTCCTTG